GATTTTCATCACCCAAGACCTATACATTTCCTCACTTATTGTAGTTTTGTGCTCATCCAGGAACATTTTCAGTGGTTTGAGGAGACTGTTCAGGTAACCAGAAGTCTTGGAGGGAACCTGGATTATAATAATTAGGGTGCTGATTAGTCTGAATTGATTCCTTTTTCAGCATATATATTTGACATTGCAATTATGCTTGGAGGAAGATCTGTATTTGAAAAGACCAATGTTAAATAAGTGTTTTTTTTTACAATTTTCTTCCATCATCAAAATATATTTGATTCAACGTGAAGATTTCAAAGGAAGGCTGAATGTGATATTGGTGTCAAAACCAAACTAGGTATGCTGCACATTCTAGGAGATCACACCTTTGCTAAAATATTTCAAAAATATTTCTTTAAAAATTATACTGGTATATTTGACTTTAAATAATGACAAAAATTTGCGAAATCTCAGGGAAATATTATACCAGCTATGCTGTCAAAATTGGAAACTGGAGTTCCAGCTTAAAGGCTATACTGATTTTCAAATGTGACAGATATCAAATGTTAGATACACTAGAAATGGTAATTGATTGCTAAATAATTCATAGCTGAATGGCATTTACTGCATTCAAATTCAGTTTCAAGAGAGCAGAGAGGCAGCTGCAAGTGTGATGGGGAGAATTAAATCAAAATGATTTTATTATAATTTGATTTTTAATCATATCAATTTCTGAAAGCACTAGTATGTGAAAAATATATAAAAAGAGGTCCAAATTTGTCACGTGTTATTAAGCAGCAACTGTTACCAAGCCCCAAAAAACCATTCAATGTAGGGAAACTTACTTTTACCTCTGCCAAGGAGGTAAAGTTTTTGGTTCCTTAGTTTATTAGTTTATCTGTTAGCAACATTATGCAAAAAGTTATGGAAGGATTTTGACGAAATTTTTAGATAGGTCAGAAAACAAATGGCCAAGGAACAAATGATTAAGTTTTGGTGTTGATCCACATTACCATGTATATACCTATTTGTCCCAGTAAAATGAGGCATTGTACAGGAATGTTTGCATCAAGTTCCTCTATGGGACAGATAATGAGAATTGTTTTGCCTTGGTAGAAGTCTGCTTTTCTAGTTGTCTCTTCTTCAATACGTAAATAGATATTTAAAACAGAAGTAAATTGATCCAATGGCTCCTTTATAGCATGCTTTATAACCAAAATTCAATACTGAAACCAGCATTGTGGATTTAATTCCACATGGATAAGTACTGCATAGTAAACTAACCTCTCTGTTTGTCCTACGATATAGTCTAGGTATGTCATTGACTAGCTTCAGGTGAACTGAGCACTGTGCAGTGATATCTTTTACAATATATTCACCAAACCCTGGAAGATGCTTCGTGATAGATGTCTGGGACTCCTGGAGACTTTCTACAAGGTGAAAAAAAAAACACATTTTAAAATGTCATCCCAAATAGCGCTTTGGTGCACATTTTTAAACAGAGTTTCAGATGTGGATGATACCAGTGTGCCTTGTTGGTAATGACCTCTGTTGCTTTTTTCTATACATGAAACTCTTAAAATAGCTCAGGCTTTCGAGGTGCAGAATTGGCATTACAAAACCACAACCAGCACGACCCCTATTTTAACATTTTAGGCCAGTATTTGACATATTATTTTTGTACAAAATGAAATATATAAGGAGTTAGGATTGTAGACCTACCTTCCAGAATAGCACTATCCTGACATCCTGTTGTTTTCAATTTTGGTTTGATTACTTCAGTAAAAAAAGCTGTAACCTAAAATATATGAAAAAAATAATAATAATTGGGAAGCAGATAGATTAATGAAATCTTTTAAATAATGAAATCCAGCCTTTTATAACACATTTTGGAATTTCCTGGTAGCATCACGTATGAAAAGATCCCCAGACAAAAATGATAACGAAGGATTTAAAAAAATAATAGGGCAAACAATTCACTGGAAACAAAACTAAGATTACTTACCCCATAGTAAATAATAGCAAGTTTGGCATTGCACACTTTTACAAAAAGCTACATCACACTCAAATACTAAGGACTTCTGAATCATTCTTACCTTGGAATCTACTCTGTGTGCATCTGCAACCATGGCAACCACCTGTCCCAGGGTGACGGGAGCAGGACGTGGTGCCACAGCAGGAGGATCACCACTCCCTGTCCCAGGGTTAGAGACCCCAGGGTCTGCTGAATTTCCATCCTTTTCTGTTAGCTAATATATAATAAAAATAATAATAATATAGAAAACAAAATGGTTGCAAATAAAGCAATCACTATTAATTTGGTTCTTAAATGTTACAGATGTTTTTATAAGTTATTAAAAATTCAATAAACCAAAACACCCCTCACTCAAGTTCCCCAAAATACTGAATCATTTAATAATACACAAAGTACCTACAAGAAATGAAAAATGCAGATTAATGAAATGGAGATATAATCTAACAAAATCGCAGTTGCACAATACAAACATATAGATTTACCTCTTTAGCATGCACTGCCTCAATCCAGTTTGAATACCTGGCTAGTAGCTGCAATGTGAGCTTCCAGAATCTGTGACAGAGCCCTGAGAGGAATACATCATCAGACCAACATTTGCACAAGCAGGACCACAACACTGTGGTGGAATGTAAGTGAAACTCTTTGGAATCTGGAAAAGTGAAAAAAAAATTATTGGTTATAAAAATGTATCTGTTTTTAAATCATACAACAATAGTAAGTTTGGTGCTGTGCTGTCTTTTAACATAATTTAAAAGCTACATTACATCTGTAGTAAATTTTGAAAACTTTGAAAAATGGGGTTCCTTGGGTTTTTGGCCTGTGCAAAAAACTTCCAGTAGTCTCCCTAATGACTTTTAACTTTTTTTGTATCTTCAAGCACAAAATTGTGTCTTCATTTATATTTTTATGTTTATAGTGTACCTAAAATATTGGAATTATTGACAGAACTTAAAACTTGACAGCAAAATGGTCAAATTTACAGACATGTAACTGAAATAAAAGTCAACCCACTTTCCTCCATTTTAAGATAAGCAGGCACATTCCAGTGTCTGTTTAAAAAAAACATATTACCTGCAGTGACATTAAATGGTGTCAGCAAGGCATTCTCAAAGCTTCCAGCAACTTCTTGAAACCTGCAAATTTAATGTAATTCAGGCATAATAAGTTATTCTGTTTTGATATTGTTAAATATGGTACTTGGCAAGCAATAATTCTTAATTTTGTTCTTTATAGTACTTAACAACTACTTTTATCCCAGCTTGGAAGAAAAAAAACGCCTTGATTATTAACATACCTTATCTGGAAATATACAGGCAGGCTCCACTTAGACATGAAGGTATTGAAAGATGGATGAGCCCTCAACCTCTTGACACTGGCCTGGGAGCCACACTGGCACTCAAACTGGTCTACAAATTCCATGCTTATATTGTATCTCTGGAAATCAAAATTAAAAGATTTCATATTACGAAATTTAAAACATATATATCTGCAACTGTACAAAAAGACCCCAAAATGTTGTCACCATTGCCATCTTATACCAATTAATGCATTTTCATTTCATAAGGTTATCTTTTTCCTTCATGGAGAGGGCAATTATTTTACACAAATTGTTCAAATCTTATACCAAGCACTTAATTTTCTTTTCTTGATATTCCCTTCTCACCTCATGGAAGAGGTCTGGATTTCCAGGTGCAAATATAAATGGAATGTTCCCTTCCACATTGCTGACTATTTCAGGCCACACAGCATTAGTCAAGAAGTCATAGCCACGGACAACCTCTCCACTGGTGCTGCAATAAAAACAGTATTGTGTGCATGGCCTCACACTTCATCTGTTCCATAAAAAACACAATAGGTTTCTGCTAAAACAGTACAGCAACATTTATATAAACAAAATAAAGTTACATCTTTTTGCTTTGAGACAAAGTGCTGATCAGAGTATTATAGTATTATCATAGCATTATCTTACCTCTGCAGAGAACCTGAAGTGACTTCTTTGATCAGTTTACAATGGAGGGGTATGAACTCCAGTATTTTGTGATACATTCCCCGCAAACCTTGTGTATTGGTTTTAATGAACTGGTCACTTATAACCTGGAAATTCATGCAGATACTGACCTATCATTTAATACACATAGTTTAACAATATCACCATTTTACCTTTGTTCAATGCCACGTGTACACTGACATCTACATCAATAATAATAATAATAATAATAATAATAATAATAATAATTCTGTTAATCTCCCCTTTCTATTGCAATTTCCCTTTCAAGTGATCTGCTTATCTAGGTGTAGCGTGAAAGTACTTATATATTTTTTACTTTCCTAGGTACTCCAAAACACTCCCAAGCATGCATCAATGCAAATGCATCCACACTTACTTCTTCCATGTATGGTTTCACTGTATACTGCCTGAAGAGTTGTTCTGCATCTTTCATTTTATCTATTGTGGCATAGGTGCGCAGACACTGCCGAAGGATCTCTGGGTTTTTCCTCTCAAGGCCTTCTCTGAATGAGCCTTCCAGACTGAATTGCAAGGTGGTGGTAATGGCAGAAATTCTCTGTGGGGAAAAAAGCGCACATTAAAGGATCTGACATACAGTGGTAACTCCCTCAAAGTCAGAGAAAACAGGGAACTTACATCAATGGGGATCCTAAATTAACAGTTGCCTGAACATTGACCAGATCCACATTATTTCAAAAAGTCTCAGTGAATGAAAAAAAAAGACATTTAGTTGTCTGACAACAATGCCATGTCACATTATTTCATAAAAGGCTTACTTTTAAGCACCAAAGAACTGTTTGAAAAAAAAATTATCATGTGATATTCTTACAGCATTTTTTTCTAAATGTAGTAAGCTAAGTGCCAAGGGAGGAGAAAATAACTTACTGGTCTTATCTGTTCCAAAAGAGGGAGTCCTTTACTTTTATTAACATAAAACTGAAGCTTGTTGAACTCAGTTGCCACCCTTTCTATCAGTTGTCCATTCAATTCACTGCATAAAATGAAAGACAAACCTAAATGTTCTTTACAATGCAAAACCTTGTAAGAATTACAATTCATATGAGACACAGAAGAACATCCAATATTAAGTAAAGTATTGTGAATACAAACTATGCGAAAATATAATTCTTGGTACAAGTCCATATGTAATCAAATAACATGATTTGCTGTTCAAAGACAACTAACTTTTTTTCCATTCAGCTAAAAATGGACACTCTACCTTGCTGACTGCTTAATCTGCTCTTCATCTGCTTCTGGTGGTATCCTCAATAGCTTCTCCATCTTCTCCACGCAATGGATGATATTCATTAGCCGCTGAACACAGGCCTGAAAAATGTTAATATGCATATAAATAACACTTATCAAGTCTACAGAGTAAATTACAGTTATATATTTGATTTATGTTCCTTTTCAACAAAGAATCCTTCTGCCATGTTAAACATCTCTGAATAACAGAACATACAAATAAATGCACATACACGTTTAGCAAATGAAAGTAATTACAGAAAAATTAAAGGATAATAAAACGACACTGAATTAATATTATTTTGAAAGTGCAGAACTTCAATACCTTTTTGTCCCTACATTCTGCTCTTTTCTTTAGTTTCTCTTCCACTGTACTGATAGCTTCATCCATTGCAGATCTGGCTGCCTAAGGAATGAATTTCAAACAGAGTTAAAATCCTAGCTAAAAGCATTTTAACTCAAAATACAAACTTTACTTTTAAACTTCTCAGTACATGTGACTGCAATCTCAAAACAGTAAAAAAAGTTGTAATAAAAATTTGTTATAATTTTGGTTGCATAAAGCACACTTAATATATGCATTTGTTGATTGGCTGTCACTAATCACATCAAATTATTCAGCTTACCAAAACTTCTTCTTGAAAGTGTTCAAGTGGCACAGTTAGATTGCTTATTGCTTTGTCCATTCCAACCTAGAAGATATAATGAAATGTCAATGAAGACCTTCAATCAGCTTGTTGTTTATGTCTAATGAAACAGACTCCATATATTATGCATTTTAGTATAATTTCCCGAACTGGAAGTAAAGAAGTTGCTAAATCAGATGTTTTCTGCAGGAATTTCGGGCACAACAATCGAATGATGTTGGGGAAACTGAAAGAGTACAGGAATTCTTGAAAATTAATGAGAGGTGCAATAAATGATAACTACATCAAAAATATCAATATATACTCACCAGATTGGTTGAAAGATTAACAAAGTCTGCATAATCCTTGTTGATGAGTTCTATCATGGCAGTCTTAAGCACCTTAAGGTAAACACTGAGATCATCCCGCAAGGTTTCCAGAGGAACTCTTCTACGACACTCCACAACAAACTTGTCAACATCAAAATCATCCTGGAAATTTTTGTATTTATTGAAATATTCCATTCCCAAATAAATTAGTTCAAAATTAACATTTCCTGGAAACAGTTAAGTTAAATCCTATTTCATAGTGTTAAAGAACGTATAAAACTTAGCAGGCAAACTCAATAGGTACTGCAGTAAATAACATTTATTCATGTCTTGTGAACTATTCTCGATTGAGAAGTGCGTTGAAAGAGACAATCTAGCAAATCAAGTTAGTCTAAACACAGCGGCAACAGTGTTTATAATAAGACATTACCCGCATAAATTCCTCCTTATTAAAACACAGTGTCGAGGGCCCACTGGGCAGTGGATTTCTCACAGCATCTGTTGCCATCATTACCATCTTTCCTTGCAAAATTTTCTTTTAATTTTTGTCCATTTGCTTTCCAAAACCTTGATTCTAAACCGGCCCACAGCAGACAACTTGGCAAGATGGAGGAAGTTTCTACTTTTCGTACTTTTTCTAGCGGAGAGCAGAGCACCTGCCGCATTCTATTGACACCAGTGGGCGTCGGTCCCTTTCAAATAACAGAAATAATGCCAACAAGTGAAGTGGATGCATTTTTACTCTTTAAGAATAACCACTGAAAAAATTAAAATAAAATGGTTAGAACCTTGACGAGCTAACACTAACATAGTTAGGTCACCGCAGGGGCGGATTCAAGATGTTTGAAGGGGGGTCCGGATGCGAAACCGACCATCGCCCCTTGGTGTGGGGCTCGGGGCCTGCTCAAGGGCCCCGAAAATTTTTTGGTGTTTTGGAGAGCAAACAGTGCCATTTAGTACGGTTGAGAACTATGATTTAGCTAGTCAAAAATTTCTTATTTCAAGAGGGGAATGTTGGTGTGATATATTTTTCAAAAACCGAAGGGGGGGGGGGGGTCAGGACCCCCTGACCCCTCCTCTAAATCCGCCACTGCACCGGTAAACAACGAAAGATTTCAAACAAAATGTTGCGTTTACCAAGCGGTACTTAGAAAACTGACGCAAACAGTGGGGTCTCCATGTTTTTTTCCTGATGACGAAATTAGATTAAAATAGGCCTATAGACAATATGTTTAGATGCCACCATCGTCACTTTTTGGAATTTTACCAATTTTTCAATACGTCGTTTTCAAAAATGAATCAAATGTTGCCCAACTTAATCTCAGACTCTTGAATTGATTAAATATTGTCACAGACGCTTGGAATTTTTCAAACAATGTGGGAGCTAGAAACACACACACACACACACACACACACACACACACAGTTTTAATAGTTTTGTAAAGCAAATTGTCAAAGGCACCGATTTTATCACTGGTTCCATTATTTCGTAGGCCCTACAACAATGCAGATCATATAAGGTAGCCTTAAAGGAAGATTGGTTTTGAAGAAAAGCAGTGGTTCTGCGAGCTCGATGTGGGTGTGCGTAATCGTCTTATTACAAAAAATTGTTCCTGAAGATGGCTCTTACAAAAGGAAGCATTGTTTATTTTTGTAGAATGTCTATGTAGGAATCCTGGTTGAGCTTGCCTTCTAGAAAAAACAAATGATTCTGGCCACCGGAATGACATATTCCCCAAACATAGACGCTACCATCCCCTGCTTGCACCCTAGGCAGTAGGCCTACACAATCATCGTTATATGCCTCTCGTACACGTCGGCGGCGGATTCGACCGTCAAACCTAAAAACTCGACTGGGGAACGGCACAGTCTAAGGAACAGGCAATCCTGTCTTCTTGTTGTAATACGAAAAAAAAAAAAAAAAAAAAAAAAAAAAAAAAAAAAAAAAAAACTGGTCAAGGTCTTTGAGTGGGTGCGTCTGTTGTAGCATTTCTTTGGAGAACTTTACCAACGGTTCCCCGATAAATGTAGAATTGCCTATAACTGATTTGACTGGCTCTTTATCTTTACATTCTATTTTAATGTCTTAATTTCTTAATATTTTAACTATATATATATATATATATCAGTCTTAACTTTCTATTGATATTATTCATCGATCTTATTATGTTCATTTTACCCTTGTAAAGTCCACTGAAATTTTTATATGGATTTCAAACTATAAATAACTATTATAATTATTGTTATTAGGTGTTAGAATCTGTGTGAGGTGGGACTTACCTTTTAGCGATTTCTTATGGATCATGGTAATCTTTTAGACTCTAAGTCACCGGTCTTTTATGGTTTGTCTCTTATATATGCCATGTTTTTTTTAAATGTTTTCATAATACTGAAAAACAGGCACAGTCAACAAAATAATAACATGTGAAGTCATTTAAAAGGCATTTAGTATATTTAGAATGCCATTGATCGTCAAAATCATCTATGTAAATAATGTCTTAAGGAGTCAGTTCAGGTAGTTGGCGATGCCGTTCCAAATACTGTTGTTCAAATCACTTACGTTCATAAAAAAGGCTAATATAACCACTCTGCATCTCTACCATCTAAGAAGCGACCCATGTTTAGAATTAGACATTTCTATAAGGGGAGATTGAGTACAGGTCAAACTACCATTCTAAGCTATGATCATTTCGACTGCGTCGATGGTACAGTGGTACTGTCGTCGGGTTTACAAAGCCAATGTTTCGGGTTCAATACCAACGTTCTGCTTTGAATTTTGTTTTATTCGCGTGTGTTTTAAATGTTTTAATTTCAAGGTAAAGAGTACAGGTAAATACACCAGAAAATACAGGTGTCATTGTGTCCTCGTCGGTGGCGCAATGGGTAGCGCACCTATATGGTTACGAAGCCTTCTTCGACGCCGACAGACACGAAGACGCCTGGAGTAGGTTACGTGTAGGCCAGGCTAGGTGTAGGTCAAATCAGGCAAAGGTGTAGGTCAGCCTAGGATAGCCTAGGAGTGAGCTAGGAGTAGAAATAAAACTTAGAAAACCAAATAGGCATTGAGATATAAGTTAGAAAATCCAATAGGTGTTGACGAAAAATAGACAAAGTTCTTTAAAAAAGTGACTTCAAATTTTTTCTGACATTTCCAGTTTGGTGTTTGGATTAATTTTAGTGTCAACTAGCAGGGTAGACATTATTATTATTATTATTATTATTATTATTATTATTATTATTATTATTATTATTACAGCATTTTCTTTTACCAGGACCAGGAAGTTTGATTATCTTGACACTGCACATGTATTAAAGAATGAAAACAAGAAATCTGAAGCTGTTCAACATGAAGGAGATTGAAATTTCAAGTACAGCGGATATTGAAGTTACTAAAACCTCTAGAGAACATCTGCAATTAAAAGTTAGGAAATCAAATCGGAATTGAAAAATAGGAAAGTTATACAAAAGTAGTGCTGTGAAAAAATAGTGAGTTTTTTTACTGACATTTCCAGCATAGTTCCCGCATTGGGTTATTTTAATATATACCATCTAAAAAGTGACCCTTGTTGAGGAGAATTAGAAATCTGTAAGGGGGAGATTAGATTGTGTACAGGTGAAGACACCATTCTACGTTAACGTCGCCTTGATATCGTCGATGGTACAGTGGTGAAGGCGTCGGATTCCCAAACCAAATGTTTCGGATTCAGTGCCAACGTTGGACCTGTTATGTCCATTTATTAACATGTTTTTGAAATATTTTAATTTCAATTTCTACAGTACAGGTAAATACAAGTAATGCAGGTGCTTGGATTAATCTAGTGTCGTCTAGCAGATGTCATTTTTACGACCCCTCTCTCCTTCAAAGTTTCCGAGACTTCGTAAGTTTTGACGATAAATTGCCAGGCCTTTATAAATTTGGTCCTTTTCGGGTGATTGTCATGAAGAAGAATAGGAGTAAAAATTTAAAAGTATACGCACTAAACAGGTTTAAATTAAGGCCCTGCAATTTTAAAATTGGGGGGGGGGGGTCTTTTCCCATTCCCACAGATATTTGGATCGATCTATCTCCCTGGGGAGTCTCACTAAATTGCTATCAACTAACCGGTTTTTATAAATGTCTGTCACGCCTACCGAATCAGCTAGGGGGTAAAGTTAATTACCCCCTAACACTAACAGCATTACTAGGCGTGACAGGCATTTAAGTCAGTTATAGTTGATAGCCACCGTACCGGATCTGGCAATATCTTGCTAAGGTTAGGCATGCCTGATGTGGACCAGATGCCCGAGGCTGTCTGGGGAAGACTCTGTTCTGTCTGTCTACTTGGGGGGGGGGGGAATCCAATGATTGATATGTTAGGAGGACATGGCAGCACTGACCACCCCCCCCCCCTTCGATTTCTGGAAAAAATCACACCTATGGTCCCCTCTTGAAATTAAAATTTTGACTAGCTGAATCAAAGTTCTTAACGTACCAAATAGCAGCGAGAGCAGCGAGTCTGTTTCAGACAGCGAGTCTGTTTCAGACAGTGGTGCCCAAAAATACATGCAATTTCCCAATTAACCATATATAGTTAATGAAGCTTTATTTGGCATTTTAATTTTACATTGTAGATTGCAGAGCCAGCAATGACATTTGTCAGTAGATGCAAATTATATTCAGTGACAAGGTTTTGCATGTATATATATATATGATTCTTGATTTATGGTCTTGGAAAATGGTTCCGTGCTATATGTAATCAGGCAATGAATTGTGTCACTCAGTCCATGGTTGGAATTATATTTTTGTTAATGTATTGTCCATGAATAAACACCCTTAATTGATGGCTAAATTTCTGGACCCTGATCACAAACATTTCTTTAACTGGCAGAAGTTTTGGACTGGTGTCCTAGAAAGTATGCAATCATTAGATGCTCATTTACAAATACCCACCGGGATAATAACTCTTCGTATGATATCTATATTTCACAATAAAAACATTGTAAACAACTCATAGAAATATAATATGTTCTGTTTTACCACAAAAACGGCAGTTATAGCTATTATTCTAATATCTGAGCTTGTTATCAGACCACGACCTCCATAAATGGCTATATTCTGTAATAATCTCTTAAGAGATTATTAAAAGATTATTACAAAGAAAAAAAAAAGAATTTTTTAGAAAAAAACCAGGGACTATCTTTGAATGTAGAAATGGATTCATTAACCATTGGTAAGAATGGAAAAATTGCATGTTGTTTACTCCAGGAAAATTCATTTTTTGGCCAAAACGAACAGTTATTATCCCTTTAATAATTACATCTTTGTTTTCAGTTAATTTTCATTACGTTATTATAATCTATTAGCCTTATCGCATAATTATCTTTATATTCCTCATGTCGAGTATCCAGGTGACTCCCTTCACCACAAAAGTTTTCATATAATTATTAAACAAAATGTCTCTCTATTTCTATAGTATCATAAATGGAAGTGTTATGGTTCTTAACACTATCGGTCAAGCTTATAGTAACCCCAACCCTCTGTCATCAATTATCATTAAATAGCACTCTCACTCATGTACGTAGTATAAACACACTTGACAGCAGTGATCCCTCTGATCAGTAGACAATGTATTT